GGGATGGAGTGGGGGGGCACTCAGCCACAAGTGCCCATTTTCACATGAACAAGTCTAACTTAAATGACACTGCATCTTCTGTAAGTTATTGCAGTTTAAAGAAGCCTAGCCACAGATAATTCCTCAGAACTCTAAAATAAAGACTCATTCTACTAAACAATGCAGTTATTTATCTTGGCATAATTATCACGCATATGTCTTTGATAATAATGGAAGTATGGTGTTATCTGTTTCTAAATCCTAGCAAAACCTGAGTTGAAAATGGAAATGAACTCACATCCGCACCTACACATCTCTCACAGGTCTGCAAGTCAAGTCCTGTGGCCGCCCGCAGCCCCAAGAATGCCTGGAGCATTCCGCGGCAGGAACAACCCCGAGAGCGCACCAGGAATGGCATCTCACAGCCAACGAGCACCCCAGGGGGTGAGGGTGCCAGGGAGACTCTGCACCCCCACCATGCCCTAGGGTGCAGAGGGGCCTGCCCAGGAAGAGCCTCTCTCTGCTTTCAAGGCCAGATCGGGGGAAGGCAGGAGGGCGGCACCAAAGACAGCAGCCCTGCCCCTCCCCACCTCCAACCTGGCCACCCAGACAGGGACCCCAGCACACCAACAGCAAGCAGAGGGGGCTCGGCTCTGGCTGAGCAGACTTCCAGCCCAGCCACCACCATGGACCTGCACACCCTCAAGGACACGGGCCGTAGGCACAGCTGCTCAGACTGCGCACTCGGGGACACTGAGGCGCACGATCGTACCTGCCTTACAAGTTCAACATTTCAGCAAGACAGAACTTGATTACTTTTCTATCTTAAATAGACATGTCAATTAAAAATGTAAAACATTAAGTTCAAGCCTCCTTTCATAGGAACAACACTGCCTCTGCTATCATTAACAAACCACTTTCAAACCCCCAACGTTTTAGAAACGTAATTCGAAAGTCCCATTTCACAGCAACCATAAACGGAGCATCCACAGGTTGTTAGGGTCAGCAGCCTGCTGTCGCTCGAGGCCACACTCACTGGACACCGCATGCTGGGGTCATCGGGGGCCACGCAGCCTCACCGCCTGAGAGGACTAACCATTCTGTTTTGCCAAGAAAGATGTCGGCTTCAATGACTTTTATACTGGAGAAACAATTTACAAACTCAAATTGTTTTAAAGCTTCTATTTTCATGTAGTTTTATTTCTGTAAAGTGTTACTTAATCTCTAAGGAAGTCTTTACAGTAGGTATGACCGTGACCACTGTCCTGGGTAGGAGACTGAGGCTTGGAGAGTGGAAGGGAGGGGCCAGGGCCACAGAGCCAGCACCAGTCAGACCAGCACACACAGGCTGTCCGGGACCCTGTGTCACTGCGGCCACATCTGGCCCCATCTCAGGGCAGGACCAGCCCAGAATCCATCCAAGCTGGGCCCCTAAGTCATGCCCAGACGGGAGAAAAGAGCACAGCACCGCGTACTGAAGAAGCAACTGTGGATCTCATCTAAACTGCTCACATTCCACCTCAAGTAATCAACGTGAAATACAAGAATGACACAAATATCAATGAAAAATGTTAGAGAACCTGGAAAATTCTTCTTCTTTCTTTATTTGAGACACAGTCTCACCCTGTGGCCCAGGCTGGAGTGCAGTGGTGCGATCATAGCTCACTGCAGCCTCAACCTCCTGGCTCTAGTGATCCTTCCTCCCCGCTCAGCCTCTCCAAGTAGCTGGGACCACAGGCACATGCCACCATGCCTGGCTAATTTTTGTATTTTTTGTAGAGACGGGGGGTCTCGTCATGTTACTCAGGCTGGTCTTGCACTCCTGAGCTCAAGTGATCTACCCACCCCATCCTCCCAAAGTGCTGGGATTACAGGCGGGAGCCACTGCACCTGGCCAGCTATTCTCTTTTTTAAACCCTGCATTTTAATGCCAGATAAAACAATGGCAAACAGGCATTCAAGACCAGTCTGGCCAACAGTGACACCCTATCTCTACTAAAAATACAGAAATTAGCTGGTCATGGTGGCAAGCACCTGTAATCCCAGCTACTCAGGAGGCTGAGGCAAGAGAATCTCTTGAATCTGGAAGGTGGAGTTGCAGTGAGCCGAGATGGCACCACTACACTCCAGGCCCTGGGCAACAGACCTAGACTCTGTCTCAAGAAAAAAAAACAAAAAAAAAACAATGGAGAACAAGTCTCAGCGTGGTCCTCAGGAGGTCCTCCCATGCCCATGTGGGTCACGGCGCCAGTGGTCACACTGCGCCCAACCTCTGCTCAGGAGGGCCTCTCTGTAGCAACACTACAGTCTCCCTGGTGGCCAAAACAGACCTCATGCTAAGGGCCTTCATCTTATTCAATCTAATTACCACAGACAAAAAAAGACAAAATTCAATACTGAGTATTTATAGTTCACAAAAGTGACAAATGGCATGAAACACCTTAGATTATTACTGTGGCATGGTCAAAAATGCCAACATTTCCTACGTCACCAAACCTAAGCAGCAGTACATCTATTCTTCTCAATCCACTACAGTGCCACACATTTAGGCCAATTCCAGCTCCTGTCAGCAGAGTTGCTGACAGCTTGTTCCCCTTTAAACAGAGAAGCATGTATTCTGAATCCATCGATAATTTTTCTTTCCCCCCAGAGACAGAGTCTTGCTCTGTCGCCCAGGCTGGAGTGCAGTGCTGTGATCTTGGCTCAATGAAACCTCCACCTCCCAGTTCAAGCAATGCTCCTGCCTCAGCTACCCAACTAGCTGAGATTACAGGCATTCACCACCACATCCAGCTAATATCTACATTTTTAACAGAAATGGGGTTTCACCATATTGGCCAGGCTGGTCTTGAACTCTTGGCCTCAAGTGATTCACCCACCTTCACATCTCAAAGAGCTGGGATTACAGGCGTGAGCCACCGTGCCTGGCCACTAATTGTTTATTAATAATTTTATTTTTCACACTAGTAAGCAGCATTTTGGCCAGGTGTGGTGGCTCATACCTGTAATCCCAGCACTTTGGGAGGCTAAGGCAGGAAGACTGCTTGAGGGCAGGGGTTCAAGACAGGCCTGGACAACATAACGAGACTCTGTCTCTACAAAAAAAAAAAAAAATTAAAAAAAGAAAGAAAATGCAGTATTTTGCTTTTCCTTGTCATCCATTAAGGTCAGCAGTATCCTTTTCACGAGGAAGCACAGCTCAGACCCTGGGGTGTGGGGTGCTCCCTCATCGCTGCCCCCCTTTTCCCGTGTACTTGGCCCCTTCATGGCACCCCTTTGATCACAGCCAGGCTCAGTCCACCTCCAGATCTTCAAAAACATCTCACTGGACCCACAAACACGCCCACTACCCAGGCTGGCTTCCTTCTAACTGCGAACCATCCCGCAGATTAAGAGAAGACAATTCTAGATCTATTTTCAGGGATATCTCAGATGATTCCCTTTCCTTCAAACCTCACCTCCATTTCCAAGGAAAGAATTCAGTCACATGAAAGAAAGCAGTCAGGTGTATCTTAAAGTGGCCTGACTCTGGGTGACGGAGATAAAGGATGGATACACCGAACTGCGAAGCTCTCGAAACAAGCTGCAGGAAAGGTTCTTTCATGTCTGCTAGGAGTAACAACACAAAACAGATCATGTATTTTTGGACTGTTCACTTTAAAACCCTGACTCACACCTGGCCAAAATATGAAAATTTAAATTAGGCAAGTTTTCTCTTCAACTGCTGACAATCCACGTATCAGAGGAAATAGCCTGCCAATCACCACGCGTCTCCGGAAGGAGGGAGGACTCTGCTCTACAGCACCACGTGCTTGGTCAGAGCCAAGGCCAAAGTCTTTATGGAGACTGCTGCCCCTCCTCTCAAAAAACATGCCTGTCACACCCAGGAGGAGGCAAGGAGTCAGGGCAGGCGAGCCAGGCTCCCACTCCGTACCTCCCACCACACACACTGGTCTCCAGCTCCGAGGAAAAGTCAGAATCGCATCTAGAGGGCTCCGCAGCAACACCGTGCCCAGAAGCACAGGACAACCTGGCGAGACCACCAGGATCCAACAAGAGCAGAACAGCTCCCAGGACACAGAGTCCTCATCCAAATACAACCCAGGAGACCACCAGGACCCCAGCAAGAGCAGAACAGCTCCCAGGACACAGAATCCTCATCCAAATACAACCCGGGAGACCACCAGGATCCCAGCAAGAGCAGAACAGCTCCCAGGACACAGAGTCCTCATCCAAATACAACCCGGGAGACTACCAGGATCCAGCAAGAGCAGAACAGCTCCCAGGACACAGAATCCTCATGCAAACTGTTAGTTAACATGACATGCGCAGAGCACACAACACACAGCCCGGGGGGGGGGGGGGGTGGTCTCGGTCATCTCCAGCCCATCTGAGGATGAAGAAAATTAAAGGAAGACGAGAGGAAATAAACTTTTACAGGCTATTAACAACCTATTTAATTTTTCAGCAGATTTATTCTCACTGTGACACCAAGGATCCCATTCATTAATCCAAAAAAGCTCATCTGTTACCACTCTGAAAACACTCTAAGTGAAATCCAGAACAAAATTCAAAACATTTCGACAAAACTCTATCAAGTCCAAGAAAACCAGCCTGGACACTCATGCATTATTTTGATACTTATTTTTCCAAACCAATGACAATAACATAAACTGATAGAGAGTGCAGTGAATATTTACCGATTCCATAGCTGAAAGTCAGTGCTGATGAGGACTGTCTTTTAAATCCAATGGAGGTGTGCCCCAGAGCAGGGTTGAGTATATTCTGAAACAAGAGAGTGAAATTAGCTCATGTCAATAATAATTTCAGCCTCAGTTCTTTCATAGCTCTCGTCTCCCTCCATTTGGTTCACACGGTTTATTCCATCTCCCTTCCTCTCCCATAACCCACTGCTCAGCTCCTAGTCACTGTTTCAAGGCCAAAACTTACCGTCATTCATCAAATACTTTCACATCAAAATGCAGCAATTGCAACAACTTAAAGGTAAATCCAAAGTCCAATACAAAAAAAGAGCAAATGACACTGATACAATCTTGTGAAATCACCATAAAACCAGATTTTAGAGACTCTGGAGCTTTTTATACATAAGAAACCAAATAAACCAAGTGGGCAGTCTTGCCATATAAACAAAACATTACCAATAAGGTAAGTTTTTTAAAAGGCTTTTTCTTTTTTGAGACAGTTTCACTCTTGTCCTCCAGGCTGAAGTGCAGTGGTGCAATCTCAGCTCACTGCAGCCTCCACCTCCCCTCCAGGGTTCAAGCGATTCTCTTGCTTCAGCCTCCCGAGTAGCTGGGATTATAGGCACCCACCACCACGCCCGGCTGGTCTTGAACTCCTGACCTCAGGTGATCCGCCCACCTCGGCCTCCCAAAGTGTTGGGATTACAGGCATGAGCCACCGTGCCCTACCTTAAAAGGCTAATTTTAAGTTTAAGAGGCATATTAAGTTGTAAACTATACAAAAGGTGCAGAAAAAGATAAGGTGGTTTTCATTTCCACTGAGTATTTTAAGAGGAAAGATTATACTGCAGTACCAGTTTTTAAAAAGCTGAATAAGGCTGTGGACGGTGGCTCACGCTTGTAATCCCAGCACTTTGGGAGGCTGAGGTGGATCCCTTGAGGTCATGAGTTCAAGACCAGCCTGGCCAACAGGGCAAAACCCCTCTCTACTGAAAATACAAAAATTAGCCAGATGTGGTGGTGTGTGCCTGTAACCCCAACTACTTGGGAGGCTAGGGCAGGTGAATCACTTGAAACCGGGAGGCGAAGGTTGGAGTGAGCCAAGATCGCGCCATTGCACTCCAGCCTGTGTGACAGAGCAAGACTCGTCTTTTAAAAAAAAAAAAAAAAAAAAAAAAAAAAAAAGGCTGGGCGCAGTGGCTCAAGCCTGTAATCCCAGCACTTTGGGAGGCCGAGACGGGCGGATCACGAGGTCAGGAGATCGAGACCATCCTGGCTAA